TAACAGAGCAAGCTAATGCTTGTTTTATTTGTTTATCAGTTAAATATTAGAAAAGTTGTATTTATTACACATGCGACGTGTTGGCTGTTTGACATTAACATAGCATGTTGCATATGCATTTTATGTAACTTAACAGAGCACTGTTAAGTATAACAGATTTCAAGTACATAAGGATGTTATTTATTTAATGTTTCCATTTCCACTGTATTTGTGGAAGACGCATTTTCAGTTATATTTCTTTATTATTTCATGCAGTTTTCGGGTCTCGCCTTTGAATATTTGAATATATTTTTTTATTGCGCCTTGGCGAGACGATAGCAACGGCCACACCTTTAGTGTCTACATATAAGCAAGTAGAACCCATAGCTAGACGACATTTTGTCGCTGCTCCAGGTGTGTTGTTTAAGCGGGGGCCGCGCGCGGGCTGCTGCGGGGCGCTCTGTTAATATTCTGTATTTGCATAGCAATTTTGGTTGTATGTCGTTTTATGTCTGTTTATTTTTCAGTTTTATGCCCATATGCGAAAACAAGAGCGCCAAAATAAATAAAATCATAAAGAAAACAAGTTTCACTGCGCCACCCGAGAGTAGGCGATTCGCAGATACCCTCTAAAATGAATTATTGTTTCTTCATAATTACTAAATAGCTTCCCTTTATGGGTGTTCCCATAACCCGCCCTTGAGCTTTGTCTTTGTATCGATAAATTACAGTAAAATTTATCTTAGTAGCAAAAAGTTAACATGAGGAACCATTGCAGGTGCTTCGTGAGGATTACAAAATCTCTTAAAATAAAAAAACAATATAAACAACAATCATCTTTAATTTGTAGGCATTGTCATTTTATCAATACATTTTTAACATGAGAAGCTCATTGTAAGTGCTTGTCAAGCTTTAAACTGTTTCAATAAAAAATCCTTAAGTAATCCCAAAAACTACCTTGAATTGGAATTTTTGTCTTTTCATCGATAAAAAAAAGCTTATTTTATCTTCGTGACAAGATGCTGCAATGCGGAGCTCATTGTAACTACTTGTTGAAAATTAGGGAGGATGTTACAAGCAAAAAATGTTGCCCACACACTTCCCTTGACTATAAACATAATTTTTGTGTTTTGAAGCACATTTCATGTTAGTGGCCAAAATTTAACATGAGGAGCTCATTGTAAGTGCATGTTAAGGTTTCAAGAAGCTGTTGCAATTAAAATTAAACTAGTTTCGAGCTATCAAGTACTTAGTTGAGTTTCCGGGTGCCCTTTTATAGGGTACAGAGCCCATTTATTCAGATTGCCGCGACTGCCAACATTATGAAACTTGACCTAGACGGCAATAAGGGGCTTTATCAGCGTCGCACGCGTGCCGCCGGCTGCTGGGGTGTGAACCCTCGACCGAGCAGGGGCTGGGAGCTGCCACTGCGACTGCGACTGCGACTGTGAGAGTGAAACTATCCCAGCCCCAAGTGCCAAACAGACAGAGGCTTTGCCGTTCCGTTTCCCTTGCCCGGCTGGGTTTTGTTTGCGGACACGTTTTGTATTTATAGAAATAATCAAAAATTCAACGCGAAATCAATATTTGACATGGCGTTAAGTTTAACCGCGACGCGCAGCACCTCGCCCCGCCCCGCCCCGCTTGTTATTATTTATTGCGTTGAAAAGTTTCATTATCAAAATGTTGTTCACTTTTTCTCTTTGCCTTTTCCTTTATTTTTTATTATATTTTTTATTTTCTACAATTTACATGAGGCAACGTCTGTTGTTGCCGCTGCAACTTTGTTGCGGCTGCGGGAGCAGCGGAGAGTTGGGGCCTCCAACTGGAGCTGCTGCCGCTGCTGCTGCCTCTGCCTCTGCCTCTGCTGCTGCTGCTGGTGAAATGTAATGGTCGCAACCGAAAATAGCAGCAGCAGCAGCGGCAGCAACAATGACAGCAAATGGCAGTGTAAAAGTTTTTGTTGATAGCAGCCAAGTGGAGGACAGTGGAACCGGCTCATGAATGCCGCATAAAATGTATTCGCATGCCCCCGAGTGTGTGTGTCCTTTGCGTCCTCTGTGTGTGCTTAGAAAGTTGCAGTCTCTAATGGCCTTGGCATTGCCCTGAGATGTTTATGATTTATCAGCTGCTACGTGAGGTCACAGAAGTTGTTGCCAATCGAACTGTTAAGGCTATGTATGCCTCGCTTCCCCGTTGAGAAAGTATAGAATCAAATTCTCAGATAAAAGATATGTGTGCCTGGATACGTCACAATTATCACACATACGCAGCGTAGGCATTAAACAATTTGTAATGTGCCCTTTAAATTTAATGTAATTTACAATGAGTAGTAAAGTTTTTAAATAAGGACAGAACTACGAGCCATTCTTACTTTTCATTATTAATAAACTACATTTGGCAAGATGAATTTGAAATGAAATGCATCGTTACGCATACGACACGTACGCCCATTCAAAATCTTTATCACTTTTTTCAATGATAGAAAAGTTTCCAAATAAGGATAAAATTACGAGCTATTTTTAACTTTTCTATTAATAAACTTTATCCGATTGCCTTAAGTGTAAATTCTGTGAAATATTACGCATACGCCCATTTATAAGATTTTTCACTTTTTTTATAGTTCTTATTTTATGCTTGTTAACTAGGATTCTTCACACCCAGACTGAAATGATGAGCAATTTTTCTTTTAATAACAGATAAATGCCAATAATATATTATTAAATAGTTGGATTTTAAATTTAAAAAATTATTACGCATACGACGCATACGCCAAATAAAAAATAATTGTTCGTTGTTTTCAAAAAAAATAAAAGAGCGTATTAATAAGTCAACTTTTTTATTAATAATATATATTTGCTTACAGATTGCTGTTATTTCTCTGAAAAATTACGTATACGCCCATTAAAAATCCTTTATTTTTAATGGGTATTTATATTAAAATATTACTCTTTGTCTGAAATTCAGCAACATTTATTGAAGATTTTATTTGTTGTATATACTAACAAGTTAATTATTTCTAGCCAACTTCGTGTTTAGCCTTCGGCTTTTTAACGCTCATTTGGGCTATTTTGTTCCACTGTGCGCGGTGCAAAACAAATGCCATGAAAACATTTTAAAATTCAAATCAACGCGATTTTTGTTGTTTCCTTATATTATTTTGCACAGTTTTCAGAGCTGGCGCAGTTTTTGCCTTTTATTTTTATTTATATTTTTAGTTGTTGTTTTGTTGCTGCTCTTCTGTTTTTTTTTTTTTTTTAATTTCTGGTCACGTATTTGTTTTGTTTCGTTTCATTTTTGGAAACAATATTGTGCCACGACAATAACGCCAGTCGAGCCGGGCTCATGTCCGGGTTAAGGAGTGGGAACCGGCGGAGTTTGAGTGGAAACCGAAGCTGGAGCTGGAGCTGAAGCTGAAGCTGGGGCTGACGACGCTAAAACTGTGGACGGGTCTGCGGTTTGCAGTCGCAGTTGGATTCGGCTCTGAATTTGTGTAATGTGAGCCAATTACTGGAGGAGGCTTTCGAGTGGCTCGTCGTCTGGCAAAATGTTTAACATTTGCGAGCGTTGTCAGGGCTAGGACATAGACGACGAAACAGTTGAATGCTGCACAAGAAATACCCTCGATTGAAGTATATTAATTGTCACTCGGTTTCTAATGGCTATATACTCGAATCATCCAGTCAGCTTTCGGATAAGCTATGTTTTGTTAATAAGGCAACATCTGTACCAAGTTTTATCTGAATAGTTTTACACGAAGCAGAGTTCACATAGATAGTAGATAGACGGATAGACTCGGCCGGCATAAGGGATAGACTCGACTTTAGGAAAACCTGTTTCTACATTCAAAGGAAACATTCATACCAAGTTTCATCTGAATAGCTTCACAGGGAACAGAGTTAATTTGGATAGTAGATAGTTTGACGGATAGATGTCCGGTATAGGGGATAGACTCGACTTTAGGAAAACCTGTTTTCACATTCAAAGGAAACATTCATACCAAGTTTCATCTGAATAGCTTCACAGGGAACAGAGTTCACTTGGATAGTAGATAGTTAGACGGATAGATGGGCATATTTTCTGCATAGACTGCTGCAAATAGTAGCTAATATCTCTTGCTTCATCATGCCCTGTTATCAAACACTTTTACAAACATAGGGTATATATGAGCTGAAATTTATTTTTGCGCAGCCATACAGCAAATATTTTTGGTCTTTATATTTGATTTTTGTGGGTCTGCATCTGTCTCTGGGCATAAATCGTCCTTCTATTATGGCATTCAAATTTGCAAAATGCGAATACGTGATCTTCGGCTTATAATTACTCTCCAGCCTTTCAGACTTCCAGCTCTCCAGTTGTCGAGTTCTTTTGGGCTCTTTTTTGTTTGTTTTGTTTATTTCGCCTGCTGCTTCTTCTTCTTTGGGCCAGTATATGGCCGTAATTCTTAATGGCCCTGGCACATTTCTCTGCCATTTCGTGCATTTAATGATTTTTATTTTTTACTTCTCCCATTTTTTTTTATTTATTTTTTTTATTTTTGGTTGGTTCTCTTTTGTTTTTCAGTTTTATTTTCTGGGCAATTTGATTTGAATGCTGTGCTATTGTTCGGCTTCTGCCATTATTAGTCTCATGAATTTAATGGGCCTTTAATTATTTCTTATAATTTTAAAGCTATTATGTCGGCTTATAAGACAGCTGGCAAAAAATAAGTAAATAAATAAAAAATATAAAAATATGAATAGCTAAACGGCAAAAAGCGTCAAAACTTGTCTCTCAGTTTGAAAACCAAAATCTGAAGCGGTCGCCAGCTTAAAGTATTTGTAAAATTTAAAGACTTTTATCAATATTAAGAGATTGTGGGTTTTGTTTAAGCGAAATGCTTAAATAAATCTAGGAACTCTGGGAAGCACTGAGAAACTCTGAGTCGGATTCTGAGCTGCTTATGGAACTAGATCTTTTGTTCGGAGTGGTTCCTATTTGTCGTTCCTACAAAAATATAAAAAATAATTTCCTTTTCGATATCGGATATTGCTGAATACTTTTGTTTAATTGATTTATGTTTCTGCTACTAATTTTCATGTTCCTGTATTGGAATAGAGTTTTTCATCGATGAGAATTCTAGTAATTATATGTTGGTCTAACTTATCCTCCAGTTATTTGTCCTTAGTCCTATAGTTATTGCTTTTGATGAATCTATATAGTTTATTAATTATGATAAATAATTGAGGGTAGTCGTATTATTGGGTTCCTCCTTGGCTTTCCATTAAACCTGCTGGAGAGAACTCGAGGAACTTTAAGGCGAACTAAACTTGTGCCAACTTGTTCAGCTGCATTACCTGTCCGCTGTCCCTTTGGAGCAACAAATTAGCTGCAACAGCAACGCCTTCTGCCTCGCTTAGCTGTTGTTGCAACATCCGGAACTTTGTTGAGCGTGGAAGGGGGAGGGGGGGAAGTCGCCTCGTAGCTCGTAATTTACGAGCCAGCAATCGCAGACGACTATCGTAATGGCTGGTAACAGCATTTGTGCATTTTGTTTAGCCATAAATCATATTGGTAATGCAACAACAACAACAACAACAACAACGACAACGACAACCAGACTGGATACCCCTCCCCCTTCGGAGCCAAGTTCCATTCGCAGTCTCAACTCGTGCTGCCCTTTCAGAATGCACTTGGACAACATTGTTGAGCATCGTCTGCGACGCAGTTTCTTGACTTAGTTTTTTCTCTATCTTCTTCTTCCTCTAGTTATTGTTATTGTTGTTGTTGTTGTGAAACGCTTTTGGCTAATTGATTTACAACACTTTCCAACCTTTCCCAATACTAACTGACACCAGCAGGGTTCTTAACGCCTCTGTTTTATTTACCCCGCCTTATATAGTACAGATATATAGCTCCACATACATATATATATACTTTTTTTTTATCAAACTCGAGAGCTGCGTAGAGTGGGGCGCGGGTGGGGAACTTGCTCAATGCTTGATTGTGTGACAATCGTAGGGGCATGTACATAGAATTTGTGTGTGTGTGCATATGGTCGCTTATCAACACTGTTATTGTACAATACTGCAAACGTTTGTGTGTGTGTGTGTGTGTGTGTGTGTGTGTGTGCTGGCTCCCTGGGGCCGCATCGGTTGGCGCGAACTGTTTGCGAAAATAATTTATGGCAAACTGTTGATTGTTGACATGGGGGCCCCAGAGCTCAAGTTAAAGCCTCGCAGTCTGCCCCTTTGTGTGTGTGTGTGTGTGTGTGTGTGTGTGTGTGTGTGTAGAATTTATCATTAGTTTTTATATGTATACAATTTGATGTTGCTTTCAGCTTCGCGAAGCGAAACCAAAACGAAACGCGACGAGCAAAACAAAAGCCCCCAAACAAACGACAGCTGCTTGGGGCCTGTTGATGATTTTCAAAAACATTGCGTCATTTCTACAGCCGACTGCCCCCGGCTCCTCTTCTCCTATTCTCCACTTCTCCACTCCGCTGCCCGCAGACCCACCCGCTGATGATCGGAGCAACATGTCGAGGCACGTTGCTCTGGCGCTCGTTTCCTAGAAAATCGCCACAAATTCTACGAACTGGCGCACTCGACGCAACGTCAGTTGTGTGAGGGGCATACTATGTACTCGATACTTGTGTGCAGGCATCGATACTATGTTTAATCGTTTACAATTACCCGCACAGAACTGTGGGCTGGTTCTAATTGAAATTCAATTAGCTGTGTTGGCTCGACTAGCAGTTACCCTGTACTCAAACATGTTCTAGTATTTGTTGGAGCCTAGTTCCATGTGTTGAATCGAATGAACCTCTTCATTGGGATCTCCTGCAAACAATGCGGCCTTGAGCTAGATATGACTAGAGTGCATAGACAAGTCTATTCAACATTTCTTATCAGCTGACGTTTATTTCTAGCTCTTATCAATGGGTATAAAATTAATTTGCTTTGATTTCGTGCTCGGCAAGGGGTGTACGTGCCCCAGCCTCAAGGTTAAGTGCGATTTGTTTGTTTCCAACACAGTTCAAACTATATTTGATCATTATTCAATATTTATCTGAATATAATATGTATTCACAATTGTTTTGTTTTTGCAATTAATAATTTTGAATGCTTTGCAGGCAAGTCTGCCCAAGTAGCTCTGCGTTACACTCGACAGCTTTTCTGATTTATGATCAAAACAAGCAACAATTGCTCCGATGTCATATTCTGAGGCCCGAGCCAAACAACGAACTCCATTGTGCCCCAGAACCCAGAACCCAGAACACAAATTAGGCACGAGTGCTGCGTATAATCGCATTATAAATGCGCAGTAAACAGAGCTGCGATTCGATACGTAGAGCTCCCGAAGAATGCAGTAGAAACCAGTTGAAACTTGCGGGTCTCCCGCTAGATATGCCCAGGTGCGAACCCCCTGCCCCAGTTCTATTGACTCATACGGCGGAATCTTAACCTTCTTCAAGTCGTACATGAGCACATCTTAAATGATTTTTCGATTTAGGCTGGAGAAGTCGGATGATTTGCCCCATACTTATCGGATCGGTTGCATTTCTTATAGGCATTGAGATATCATTTTCGAAATGAAATAATTCAACAGTTTTATTAGTTAACTCTTGCTCAAATTCAAATAAGTTTCAGTAACAAAATTGTAATAGATACTTAAATATATTTAAATGTTCTGTTTTCTTTTTTATATATATATATATATATATTTTGTTTTATGTACATCGCGCTTTAAGTGGGAAACATGTGTAAGTATTTATAGCGTTTACATCTGGATATGTTCCCAAAACAAAATTGAATTAAGTTTACAGTTTTTTGTTGCTGATTCAACATGGGCACTTAGTATATATACATATACACATACATTTATTTAATGCATATCGATTCATTAATGCATAAGATAACAACTCTTAATTGACTACGAAATAAAGGCACCTGAGTTCAAAGTGTTATTGCCAAATGTAAATAAGGTAAACAAATAAAAATAAAACTCAAAAAATGTTTGCATAATAAAAAAAAAGAAGAAGGGATATAATAATATTAAACGTATTATTTAATTCATTTTAATTAATGCGTTTCCCTTGGCAACAAAATAAAGTAAAATAATATGAAAGGATTCTCGTGGGTTTCGCTGACTCTTGATTGACTAATCTGTGCGATATCGCTGATATGCGTCTATATAGTATTTATGTACATATATTTATATGTTATATTTTATGTATTTGTATAAAAGTACTTAAATGGTCTTTGTCCCTGAATGAAATGCGCTTGGCTTCTAAACCCGCCCCTAACTACCCTTAGAATTGTTGGCTCTTGTTGCTTCTTGCTTGTTGCATGTTGCATGTTGCATGTTGCATGTTGCATGTTGCTCTGTTTGCGTTGCTGACTAGTGCGTGTTTCTTCTTCTTCTGCTCTCGATCCGGTTGCCCGGTCGGGCCCCAGTTCCAGTTCCAGGTCTGCCCCGTCGTCTATTGCATCTTGTAGAGCTGCGGCGGCTCCTTGGAGGCCGGCATGCCCTGATCGTACTTGCCCAGCTCCGCCTCGTACAGCAGATTGTTGATCAGGTGCTTCACCACGATCTTCGACTTGGATGTCTTCAGCTTGCGTATGGTGATGGCCACGTACTCACCAAACACGCCGTACTCATCCACATGGCTGGCACTCAGATTGCTGCTCCCAGTTCCATTGTTGTTGTTGCTGATCTTGGGCGTGGCAGCGTTGCTTGAGATGCCGCTGCTCGCCGTTGTCGTCGTCGTCGCCAGCGAGTGCAGCTCCAAGGATGTGGACGAGTGATGGTTGTTGGTGCTTAGATGATTGGACATTGTTGGCGAGAGGGAGAGATCACGATCACGATCACGATCACGTTTTTGTGCCATGTTATTGGAATGTGTTTGTTGTTGCTGTTGCTGTTGTTGCTGCTGCTGCTGCGACTGTGGGTGCCCATTGCCGTTGTGGCTGCTGTGGCTGAGATTGTGGCTAAAGTGTTGCTGGAGCGTATGAAATGCGATCTGATTGTGGTTCATCTGCTGATGCTGTTGCTGCTGCTGCTGCTGCTGCTGCTGCGAGTGCGTTGTAGACTTGATCGGCGTCAAAGTCAGCGCACCGACCACGCCCCCGACAATACTAACCCCGCCCACGCCACCAGTGAGATCACCGCCGCCATCCAGCTCATCCATCTGCGCCTTGCGCTTGCGCGGATTATATGTCAGATCCGTGGGCTTATAATAGCTCGCAGAGAGCGGCGTGCTCGTCTGTCGCTCGAGCATGCCCAGCTCAGGTTCGTGCTCGATCTGTGTTCCAAAGATTAAGGGATGCAAGGGAAAGCAAGTAAGTGAATTGAACTTCGGTTAGTTAACTCTTCAACTTCATTAATTGATAAGTCTTAGTGATTCCACACAATTTACTAAATATATCCCCATCTCATCCTTAGAAATATACCCTGTTCTTAATTTAAAGCATTTTATATAAAATGTTTTTACTAACGACAAAACAAACTGTTTTTCTCTCTCTACACCCACGTGTATACCCCATAGTTTGTGTACGTACAGGGTATTCGAGTTCGGTCAATTGTATTAGAATTAATCGTGTGCTAGACTTAAGTAGTCGCACGTCGTACTCACAATTTCTGTTTTCACATCCTCGGCGCTGATATTGCAATAGCTCTCGCCATCCAAGTCGGAAGAGGAACGCGTCTGCGAAAGAGCGAGCGAAAACAAATCGTTAAAAATTAGCAACAACTGCAACAACAACAACAATCATGGCAAATGTTAAGAATTTGCCAGACAAATAATAATAACAAAATCAACAACAACAGCAACAACAACAGCCAAATAATAATAGGCAAAGACGAAGCAACAAAAAATAAAGCAGAGAGAAAAACAAATTAGAATAGTAATAAAAAATAAATAAATAAATGTGGGCAACAGACACAGACACGGACACAGACACGGACACAGACACAGACACACTTTGCATACAGATGACTGCGGCAGAGCCAGCGGCGATTAAATTAGTTAACGGCGGCGGGGCAGAGGGTGGCGACGCGGCGAAGTCAACATTGAAGTGGACCAACGAGCGGCCAGCGAAACAGAGAGGCAGAGAAGCAGACGAATAGACGGACGAAGCGAAGCGAACGAACGAAACAAAAACAAACGCAAAACGCAGCGCAGCAACCAGCTGAAGCTGAAGCTGCTGCTGCTGCTGCTGCTTAGGCGGGTCCATTGCCAGCGCAGGTGGGCGAGGGGTGGGGCAGCCGTTGAGGGGCAGGGTCGGCGCAAAACGTGTAGCTGCCGATTTCTACGGCTGATGCAACACACATATGGCTATTGCTATGGCTAACGTAGCGCAAATCAAAGCCAGTTGACACACACACACACACACACGCGCGCACAGGACACACATACTTGCACAACACACGACGCTTATCAAGCGCATGCGACGCAATAGCAGCCAGCGCCACAGCACAGTGACAAATAATTATTGCAAAGTGCCGAAGCGATAAATTGATAATATATCGATTAATTCATTTGTTACGAAACAAACTCGAAATGGCAACGCTGCAATTGCAGCGCTGAGTGCGAGTGCAGTGTTGCCACCCAATCAATATTTTTGATGTGTGCAATTCTTCTGTGCAAGGGCAAGGCGAACTGTTTAACAAAAGGAGTGCAAAGAAATTGTGCAAGTAGCAGTGCATACATATTGTGTTTTGTTTGGCACTAAAATGCTCGTGCCACTGTGCGCCACAGTTTTTGCTGTTGCTGGCTGACGAACCGCTAGACACCGAGCCAGCAGCGTCGGCGCGTGTGCTGCTGCTGCTGTTGCCGCAAAACAAGTCAAACCACTCACGCATACAAGCACACAAGTACACATGCACACATACACTCATTCTCACTGGCACGAAAAGCAAAAGCTTTACCGGAACGACAACAACAAACAAAACAGAATACTGCAGTTGAGTATACGCGATAGCTGAATACTCTAGCTAACTGAATTGGTAATAAGATGTTAAGCGAAATAGATTTTAATTTAGCACGATTATGAAAATACTGCAATAGTATGGGTTCAGGTGTGTATGTGTGTATGTATGCATGTGTGTACGTGCACGTGCATGTCATACCAACATGTCTAAATCTACAGACCGCATATACCCTGCGGCGTTGCAGTGTATAGAGCATAAGAAATGAGAAATAATATGCACAACAAAATAAAATCAATAAGAAATAGGCAATAGGCAATAGGCAATATACGCTTACCACAGCAGCTGAGACGGCTGCAGCGGCCGCTGCTGATGATGCTGTTGCGTCGCTGCCGCCGCTGTTGGCCGCACAGCCATTGGAATTGGCATCGGAGACCGCTGCATCGGCGTCCATAGTGTGTTCCCGTTCCCTGACGTTGGCCGCTGCTGCAGCGGCTGCCACAGCAGCAACAGCGGCAGCGACGCGAGCAGCGAACTCTTCGTGATGCTGCTGGTGCTGGTGCTGGTGCTGCTGCTGCTCAACCTGTTGCTTGCCAGCAGCTGTCAGCTGTTCTAGATCTAGGCTATGCATCAGCGCCAGTTTATCAGCTGCTTCCGAGTCCAGCAGCGCTGCCGCTGCAGCCGGCTCAACGTCGCCGTCAACGGCGGCATCCAAGACGGCGGCGTCAACGTCGCGTTCACCATCCAAAATAAATCGTATGGCCTCATATGCAAACCACATGGGCTGATAGTGAACGCCGCGGCTGCGTCCGTTGAGCACCTTGCCGTGCTCGCGATGGAAGGAGGAGCGCAGCGATTTGATTTTGGAGCGTATCGAGCGTATTTCCGTGCCATATTTTTGGCTGAGCAGCTTCAAGGCCTCGTATTTGGTCTGCTTGATGTGGTAGCCTTTGGTGTTGGGGTCCCACAGCACGCGCTGGCGTCGATAATCCTCGATGAAGCCCAAGATCGTTGCGCGCGACCACTCGATGCGGTCCGCGGGCGATGCCAGCGCCGACGGCGACGGCGGCAGCGCTGCGGCGTCCGCAATCAATGCAATGGCATTGGAGTTGGCGTCGAGTTTGTACTGCGCTGCGCTGGCGCCGCTGCTGGACATCGTGCGGAGAAAGTTAACTGTTAAGGAGACGTTTGTTGTGGTGGTGCTGCTGCTGCTGCTACTGTAACGGTGCAGTGGGTGGTGTGGCTGTGGCTGTGGTTGGTGCTGGTACGGCTGTGGTTGGGCTGGATGGATACGCGCGCGCGCGCAAGCGGCTGCCGGAGAGAGAGAGAGAGAGATAGAGAGGAAGGTAGCAAAGAAGGTAAACGCAACGCAACGCAAAACGCAACGCGACGTAAAAAAAAGCGTCCACAACACGTTGCTTTTGACTTTCGACTGAGGCGGCGGCGGCCGCGGCTAGCGGTTGTGTGGCAGAGGAAGCGTAGCGGCAGCGGCAGCAGCAGCAGCAGTAACGGCAGCGGCAAGTGTGGCGGCGGCGGCGACCAAACGGCAGCTCAGCTGCACTTTGTGCGAGAGAGCGCGCGACTGAGCGATGCACAGTGGTACAGAATTGAAATGCAATTTACCAAACTTGAAATTATGAAATTCTTTTGGATTGAATAATCCACAATTCATATGCATAGAGCAGAACTTTTTCAATAAAATGTAAGCAAGACACTAAAATCCTCTGACTCTTTGTTTTTTTTTTTTTTCTATAATACTGTAGCTGTAAATATGAAAAGAAAGTGTTCTTTTCAATGTATATGTAATTCGTAATTAATAGTTAATATGATTACTAGGAACTGCAATTTAAAAACAATTTGCCAAATCTATTCAAGATAATTATTTTTCTTTGATCAATTAGTTATCATTTTTATCATAATAAGTAAAATATAATAGCAGTATTATATAAATACCAAATTAGTATTTATATAAAATGGGGTTGAACAAAGCAAAAGGGGAATATAAATTGAAAGAAAATAAACTGCAATCAATGGATCGTTTACCACGTGGGCTCAGCTTTTTTTAGCCAGCGTGTACCACTGTGCGACGTCGCTTCGTCCAAAATCAACGCAAAGGTGTGCGACTCTGTGTTTGCTGTGCTTGTGTTGGTGTAGGCACACGTACAGGCAAGCTTGCGCGCAAGTGTGTGTATGTGCTGGTTGCAGCGGCACGCGGGGGCTTTTTTTCGCTCACTCGACGAGTCGCTGCTGCTGCTGCTGTTGCGGCTGCTCTGCCCGGAGACCTGTTGGTTGCTCGCTTGATAATGCGACGCTTTGTTATTGTTGTTGTTGCTGCTGCTGCTGCTGCTGACTGTTTTGGGTTTTCTATTTGTTGCTGCTATCAGCTGTTTTATTGCATGTTGTTGTTGCCGCAATACATACGTGCGACGTGACGTTGCTGCTGCTGCCGTTGTTGTTGCCTGCTGGCTGGTGTTGCCACTCGACGTTGACGTTACGATCCCCCGACACGTTCGTTGTTGTTTTCGCCGCTTCGTCGTTCGTCGTCGGTCGTTCGCTGTTGAAATCACGATTTGTACTAATTTCACATATTTAAACTGTGTGTGGCATGCGCGCTGCTCCAAACGGGCCAGTTGCTGTTGTTGCTGTTGTTGTTGCTGTTGTTGTTGTTGTTGTTGCTGCTGCTGCTGCCGCTGCTGCTGTTGGCCGTAAGTTCGTCACTTGGTTTTGTGCTCGCCGCACGCCCCCGCCCTTACGCTACAAACACCTTCCAATCTTGTTGTTGTGGTTTTAGCACTTTAGCACAGATCATTACCGCTATATCATGAGCTTTGCCAAAAGCTTAGAATCAGAACAGCTTTCTCTTCTCTTTACCTTATCGCAAAGCATATTAGAAATCGAAAGCAATTTACAACTTGTTTTTGTTTTGTTTTCTATACAATCTCTTGAAAAATGTGCAAATCAAATTATTTACATATTGTTGTCAGTTAGGGTATAACAATGTCGGCGCCATCTAAATCGTAATTCTCATTTCTCGTTTCTGTTCAGTTTCGCCCGTGCGGCGATCGCTGGTGCCTGCTGCTGCTGTTGCTGTTGCTGTTGCTGTTGTCGCTACCGTCAACGGCAACACGTTGCACAGTGGGCCTGTTGTGATTGCTCGGCTTCTGCGCATGTGACGAAGGCTGCCAAAAAAAAATTAGCTGGCTATTCGTGTAGCAAAGTGGCGGCCATGACGCTGGATATGCTAGTCGCGTGTGCTCGTTAAGATTTTGGCTACAACATACATTGTACGTATGCACACATGTCTAGCTGTGTGTGTGTGTGTGTGTGTGTGTGTGTGTGTGTGTGTGTGTATGAATACTTGAGCTTATGTGTTTAGTAGCACTCTTTGACAGTGGCTGACAAGCTTCTTATAATTTGATGAAAATGTTACACAAAAACCTAATGTTCGTTCCAAGTGCGGTGCGCTTTGTACCACTGTGCTACGGCGGCTACAGCTGTAAATTTTGTTGCCGTCGTTGAGAAGTTGTTATCGTTGCCGCCGCTGCTGTTGGACAAAAATAACAAAAACAAAATTTGCAAAAAAAAAAAAAAGCTTCACAACGCGGTAACAAATTTTGCGAGTCAGCAGAATCGCAAAAAGAATCAAAAAAGGAATTGCATTTCACGGCAAATTTGGTTGTTTTTGTTAATCAAGGGGCGGGTTGTTAGCTTAGTCGAGGGAGGGGGGCAAGCTGGGGAGGGGGGCAAGCTGGCTGACAAAAAACGGCAGCGTCGACGTCGCTCACGTAGGCAGTTTTGTTTTTGCATTTTGAGTTGACAACTTCGATCGATGTGCGATATTGAAATGCTCTCCCTCTCTTCGTAGCTTCTCTCTCTCTCTCTCTCTCTTTCTCTCTGCCCTTCATGTGCAAGTCCTCAACACGTGCAGGTTTTAATTTCGCCGAATTTTATTGTCGTAAGGCGAATTTAAAAACACGCATACAAATGCATAAGCAGAGTTAGAGCTTGTGCACTTCGCAATGCATTTCTTCGCTTACCCGCTCTCTCTCTCTCTCTGTCTTACTCTCTCCCTTTTTTAGCTCATGTCACCTCTAATACTCACAGCATTTTAACATTGCGGAAGCTTTCGTGACTGCTTCTGCTTCTTGCTTTAACTGCTCATTATCAAGCGCCGTTGCTGCTGTCGCTGTCTCCGCCTCTGCCACCGTCGACTGTGGCAGCGTCATGTTTGCCGCACCTACGATAACGGCATTAACTTGACTTGACTTTCAGCCCGATCCCCTTCCTGTGCCCTATTGAAATACCGCATCGCATCAACATGAACAACAGCCGCTCAGAGAAAGCAACGAGAAAATGCTTCGACTGCAGCGCGTAGCGCGCTAGCAAAAATTGAATCTGAAATTGGCTCTGACTGCGACAGGCGCTACCGCTACCTTCGCTGACATCGCTGCCAACGCTTGCGTCGCTGTCAACGTAAGCGACGCGCGTCGTGGCGCAAAGCTTTACATTCAATTTTCGTTTCAAGTTGACAAATTGACGTTCAAAGTTGTTTGCGCAGCATTTCAGTTACAGTTTCAGTTTTGCTGCCTGCCTTTTCCGTTTCCCTCATTCCCCGCGATTCTCCTGACCGATTCCATTACCGTTGCAATCGCTACACACCCATATCGTTGAGTTTGTCAGTTCTGGTTCCTTATTATTTTTATGATTTTTCACAATCTTTACGTCCTTTCGTTGCCTTAAAATGCAAGTACTTGAATGCGCGTGTGTATGCATGTGTGTGTATGCATGTGTGCGTATGCATGTGTGCTTGGCATATGCATGCTGCTGTACAATGAGCGACAAATGTTGATGGAAAAGTATTTAAGCAATACATTACAACTTAAACAAAAACAAAGACTGGGAATTATTAAAATGGAAATTCAATTTATCATTTGACTAATTAAAAAATCAGCGCTAATGAACTTACTATATTTGTTTCAGAAGCTTACTTAGAAACAAACGCTTCCTTACAAATTTAAATAATTAATGTACATTTATGCTTAAATGCACAGCTGAATGAATAATGCTGTCAGGCACTGTGCATAATAGAATGAGTTGCTGCGGTTCCTGTTGTTGTTGTTGTTGCTGTTATTGCTGGTTGTCATTGCCAACTAAATTGCATTGAGCTGTCACATTAGAGAAGCAACTCGATATGCCAGTTGCTTGCATCTCTCTGCACTGCTCTCCTTTGCTACGCTTTGCTTGCTCTCTGCTGCTCTTGCTGGCACTTTATACTCAGCTGAACAGTTTTTATCAATCAACTTTGGAGGTGTTGTTGTCGCCGCTATTGTCGCCGTGGTCCCCTTTGTTGTTGTTGTTGCGTGCACTTTAGTTGAAATTGGCGTTGACGTTGACTGTGTGGAATACATATTTTTATTTTTATTCAATTTCAACGTCACTTGAACGTCGCTAACGACGTCGGCGCCGGCGTCGTCAACATAATCATCATCATCATCATCATCATCATCATCATCGCCAAGAAGAACATTATCATTTGTGTGCCTGTTGACTGTGTTTGCTTTTGTTTATTTCAATTATGCAGCGTCTATCGTCTATCGTTTATCGTCTATCGCTTATCGCGCCAGGCCAATCCAATTGGATAAGCCGCGCAGCTGTCGCGCCGCTTAAAGTGCACTTCCTTATGGCCGTCTTCCCACTTGGCTAATTGGAGTGGGAACAGTGGGGACCAGTGGGGACAGCTGGGGCAGCAGTTCACAGCTCCGTTTCGAATTGCAATTGCAATTCCTACGGCCGCTTGAGTGAACGTTTATTTATTTACTTATTTAGTTTGTGCAACTGATGCGTATCTGTTGCAGTTGCAGTTGCAGCTCTAACGGGAAGTCGCCGTTGAGTGCGCCCAAAGGAAGTGCATTCGAATGAATGCACATCTGATAAACATAATGCCCATAGACAGCTACCGGCCCCGATACCGATATCGATATCAATCGCACCGGTTGCAACCACTTGAGTTGCACTTTAATTAGCTTTTGCACTGATTTCTCGTTCTGAAGGTTGCCCCCCCTCTAACGAACGTGTTGCGATATCCGCCTTACTGGCTTTCAGTTGGCAAATGTAACATGAAGATGCAAGCAAGTATAAATCCTCATGTTTATGCTTAGAAGGCAACAATCTAAGCGACCTTTTATAGAAAGCAAACATTTTTTATTTTCAAGAGTTTCTACTGATTGTAAAAATAAGAAGTTCATGTTGTTTGAACACTTTTGAAATCTATAAGCAGCTGGCAAATTTGACATGAGGATGCTAGAGCTGTAAACTTTAATAACTAAATACAGTCCTTATGCTTATGCTCAAAAGGAAAAGTGTTTATTTGTTGTCCCAGCAATAGACATACAATAAATTTGGGTTTATAAACAATAATATGCCGAATTTTAAATTTTATCAGGACAACGACCCAAATCATAAGACGCATATGATACGCTTGTGGTTACTTTATAACTGCGGTAAAGTCTTCGATACACCTGCGCAAAGTCCTGATCTCAATCACATCGAAAATGTGGCTAAAAGGCATCCAAGGAAGAGTGGCAGCAGTTGCTGAGCCATTATGATTTTAAAAAGCTTATTCATTCAATGAAAAAGCGTCTAAACGAAGTTATTAATACCAATTAAATTAAATATTAAAAAAATATGCCATTTCAATGCCTTAAATTAATTTAATTA